CCCCCCCACAAACCCCCAAAAAAAAAAAAAGACTTGTCTTAAATTGAATTTTCTCAGCTTTTTAGTTCCAAAAATGGTTGTCTTGAGATGGGTTTTTCTTCTTTTCCTCCCTGCTTAAAATTGTGATATTTGTCTATGTTTTGTTTTTCGTTTTGGTTGGATATTGTAACTGAGTGAAACTTTAGCTGTTGTACATTTAATCAGACTGATGTTTGTTTGTTCTTTTCTACAGGAGGTTCTTTGAATTTGGGCTGTTTTTCCTGTGAGATTTTCTTGTGAAATGGTACTTATTCTTGAATATTGTTGCTCCTTTGTTTGTTAAATCCTTAGGAAGTTAGGATGTTGTAAAAACTCAATCTTTGTTGTAAAAACTTGATTGCTCCTACAAAACTGAAGTTTTGGGGAAAGTCAACCATTCTTTAGATAGCCGTTGACCTTAAATATTGTCACAATCTTGTTTAGAGAAACTGGACTGCCCTTGAATTGTTGATTTTGGGTTGTCAAATTTTCATCAAGATGAGTGAAACTAAGACAGAAACACCACTAAATCCACCTTCTATTTCAAGAAAGCTTCCTGATTTTAAACAATCTGTGAAGCTGAAGTATGTTAAACTTGGATACCATTACCTCATTACACATGGAATGTATCTGTTTTTGTCGCCTCTAGTTGTTCTCACTGCTGCTCAACTCTCTACATTCTCACTCAATGACCTTTATGTTCTTTGGGATCAACTTAGGTTTAATCTCATATCTGTTGTCATTTGCTCCACCCTTTTGGTCTTCTTGTCTACTCTCTATTTCTTTACCCGTCCTCGCCCTGTCTACCTTGTCGATTTCTCGTGCTATAAACCGATAGATGCAAGGAAATGCACAAGGGAGAATTTCTTGGATATGTCTAAGTCCGTTGGAACGTTTTCTAACGAAAACCTTGAGTTTCAAAGGAAAATTGTTGAGAGGTCTGGTCTTGGTGATTTAACTTACCTCCCCGAAGCAGTGACTCAGGTACCGCCAAATCCTTGTATGGCAGAAGCAAGAAAAGAAGCCGAGGCTGTTATGTTTGGAGCCATCGACGAGCTTCTTGCTAAAACCTCTGTTAAACCTAAGGATATTGGAATTTTAGTAGTGAATTGCAGCTTGTTTAACCCGACCCCCTCTTTGTCTGCGATGATTATCAACCATTACAAGTTTCGGGGAAACATTATCAGCTACAATCTTGGTGGAATGGGTTGTAGTGCTGGTTTGATCTCGATTGATCTTGCGAAAGATCTTCTTCAAGTTCACCCCAACACTTATGCCTTGGTTCTTAGCATGGAAAACATCACTTTGAATTGGTATTTTGGTAATGAGAAGTCCATGCTCCTACCGAATTGCTTATTCCGGATGGGAGGTGCTGCGGTGTTGCTCTCGAACAAAAGATCCGATCGAAGATCAAAGTACCAGCTGGTCCATACTGTCAGAACTCACAAGGGTTCTGATGATAAGTGCTTTACTTGTGTTTACCAAATGGAAGATTCTGATGGAAAAGTCGGAGTCTCTCTGTCGAAGGAGCTGATGGCAGTAGCCGGTGATGCTTTGAAAACCAACATCACTACGTTGGGTCCTCTTGTGCTTCCTATGTCCGAGCAGTTTCTTTTCTTCGCAACATTGGTGGGAAGGAAGATACTGAAGATGAAGATTAGGCCTTATATCCCCGATTTTAAGTTGGCGTTTGAGCATTTCTGCATTCATGCCGGTGGGAGAGCTGTATTGGATGAAATAGAGAAAAACCTGCAGCTTTCTGATTGGAATATGGAGCCCTCGAGAATGACACTGTATCGATTTGGGAACACTTCAAGCAGTTCCCTTTGGTATGAATTGGCCTACTCGGAAGCCAAGGGAAGGATCAAGAGAGGAGACCGAACTTGGCAGATAGCATTTGGTTCGGGATTCAAGTGTAACAGTGCTGTTTGGCAGGCTTTGAGAACGATAAATCCAGCCGAGGAGAAGAATCCTTGGATGGATGAGATTCATCAGTTCCCCGTCGATGTTCCAAAGGTTGCAAGAATCTAACAACTTAATGGAGCATTCTATTTAATTAGCTAAGCGCTTCCTAAATGTGTAAAGTTGGAATCTTTCTCAGAATACTATGGTTATAGGAGGTATGTGTAGAGTAGTCATTTCCCTTGCCTCTAAAGTCATTAGTTGATCTGATTTGATTGAGTTTCTAAAGGTTTTATGAATACTACCTCTGAAGTCATTAGTATCAAAGGTAATCTTTTGGAGTTCAGTGGTGTGTTTAATATCTCTTAATTGATATTCATGTAAAATTATTGTTTATAATTATTATTCTAGATTGAAGAACTGGGAAAATATTATTGGGATACATTTTGTAATGTCAATTGTTTTGTTGAATGATTTCATCAACCTGTTTATTTTGGAGAACAGTTAAGCATATGATTGTTCTCAACTTCTCATTATGATTTTGTTCCATTACTCATTGAACTCATCCTCCTCCACCCACCCCTTCCCAACGGAAAAACAAGGGGAAAAAAAAAAAGAAAATTCTCCAATAGGAAAAATACAGAGGAAGCTTTTATTTTTTGGGAATAATGTGATATTGGTTTCAAATTATACCTTGTTTATTTGGAAGAAGAAAAACGGAAAGAACTGTAAAATGAAGTAGAAAGTGGAGGAAATGTGTCCTCTTTTGTTCTGAGATTATTAAATTTCAAAAGTGGTGAGGGAAGGTAAATATTTTGATGTTTAACAAGCAAGGCCAAAGGTAAAGTAATTTTTCTTTTTTCCTCCTCTTTTCTATAAACCGAATTTAGAAAACATTGTCTTTCCCTTGCCAATACCAATGAATATACTATTTTAAAATATATAAAATATTATTAAATAATGTGATTGGCTTGTAAAATAAAAGTTAAAAGATGTATAAGCTATTAAAAAGACAAATGTTGATCCCATTTAGCGAAGAAATCTTGGCCATAGAAGTCTTCAGATACATAATTGTGATTTATGAGGACTTCGGGGAGAATATTTTATGAAAATCACTAATATATTTGTGACCTAAAAAAACAAATAATAAGATTTCTCAAATAAAATTAGTTCAAATTAAATCTTTTGGTCTTTTGGGAATAAAGATGTTGGCTTATAGCTCATAAAAAAATTAATAAGTGATAACGTCTAAAAATTACTAATGTTGGCTTAATATTTTACAAAAAATAATTAAATATATAAAAATATCGAAAATTATCATTTGTTGAAATAATTAAAAAAATGATGAAACTCGTAAAGATAGATTTCAATTATAAGTTGAATATGTTTTTTTTTAAATTAAAATTAGGAAACAAATGATGATATCTTTCTTCTTTCAATATTGGTCAACGAAGCAAATTGCATCTTGGTGAGCCTCAAGTATTCTTTATGGAAAATATTTTATTTTTTTCTTCATGCTTATCTATATATTATGACTATAGCATAACAGTTCAAATATAAAAGGATTTAATATTCAAAATTTTAGTTGATTTTAAATTTTTAAAATTTAGGAAAATAATTTAATAACTATTTTGTCCGATGTGAAAGCTATTTTTAAAAGGTAAAAAAAATGAACAATATTTCGCTAAGGAATTTCTTGCTATAAAAAATTATCATTTGTTGAAATAATTAGAAAAAGAAATGATGACAATTCATTTACAATAGAATTTGTCTATAAGTTAAATACGGTTTCTCTTAAACTTTGGACACAAAGATGATATCATTGGTCAACAGAGCAAATTCTAATCTTGCGTGAGCCCTATATGTTAGGACTAATTGCATAGGAGTTCAAAACATGGAAGGATTTAATAAGTACTAAAATTTTAGTTAATTTAAATTTCTAAAAATTTTGGAAAAACTTAAATTACACTTTCGACTAGTGCGAAATTTATCTTTAAAGGATAAAAAAGGCGAACGACATACCGCTAAGGGCCTTCGTACTTTTAATATAGTACTAGTATCTATAAACGTGCGTTGCACGTTAATAATGTCACATGGTGATTTAAATATTTATTTATATGAAGGAATAATAAATTTTATTCCCTCCATTTACTTTTAATTGTCACGTATTTTAAAAATTAATTTTTATTTTTACTTGTCACTTTTCGCATATCGAGAGAAAAATAATTTATTTTTTCTACTTTGCCCTTAACATTAATTACTCATTTCAAATCATTTTCTAAATTCATTAAAAGACTATACACCAATTAATATGAGTATCATGGTAAATTATGCACTTTATTTATTATTTCTTAAGGAGTGTGCAAAGTCAATAGTGGACAAGTAATGAGTGGAGGGAGTAATTAATAAGAGAAATTTTATATATAATACTACAACAATCATCTAAATGCCAAAAAATATTATTGCATTAGCATAATACGTGAATTCAAAATGAAAGGACATCATCAAAACTTACATAAATGATCAAATTTAGTCATGTTAAGTAGATAATTATGTATTATAGTTTAAAGGTATCTAATGTGATGGTACCTTATGGAACACTTCTTAATGTGATGGTATCTTAGGGAACACTTCTTTGTAGACGGTGTTTTTTTTTTTGTATATGTTTCCTTATAATTCTTTGGTTACTCTGCCATAACCAGAACTCTTGTTGCCGATATTGATATCTCTCTTGAAAGTGCAACATATAGGTATTCGTATAAGAAAACATATTGTGGTAAATCGTAATTATAGTCCAATATTTAGGATGTTTGTCCTTGTACTTTATTTATTATAACTACAAGACATAAACATACTGAAAATTATTTTCACACACAATTTAAACGGATATTCTTTAGTTTCGGAAGACGAAAGTTAAATTCGGGGATAAACACATACTTAGAAGCACATTGATTAGTATCATAAGTTCTGCATGTATGACGTTATTGTCAAAACTTCTATATACCATATGTGTACTATTACATAAGCTATTCAGCGGATCTAAGTTTTCAGTAGCATGACGGAACATATTTTTCTTTAAAATCAACCTATATGTAATGGAAAATCAATTTTAACTTAGTCTATTATATATATATTGTCACGACCTAATTTTACCTATAGGTCGTGATGACGCCCAACACTACAGCTAGGCAAGCCAACAAATAAATTAAACATATATCAATTATTTTCAGAATAATTTTCTAAGTAATTTTATTATTTTACTAGCAATATTCAAGAAATTAAAAAAGATACCGATTAACTTAAATCCAAGAAAATAATACAATTTCAAATTCTACCAATGTGTGTGTCAAGACCTGGTGTCACATGTGTATGAGCATCTAGTAGATAATACAAAACCCCAAATACTGTCTGAAATAAAAATAGACAGAATGAAAATACAAGGAGAGGCACTGGTAGCTACAGAATGGCCCAGCAAGATAGCTCACCACTACGCCTCTGGATAACGTGGATGTACGATGATAGGTCCTCCACTAGTACCTGCCTCAGATCCTGCACAAAAAGTGCAGCAAGTGTAGCATGAGCACGTAAACAATGTGTACCCAGTAACTATCAAGCCTAATCTCGAAGTGGTAGAGACGAGATGACCGACTTTGACACTCACTAAGAGTCAATAATAATAAATAAAATAAAGATAGCAATAACTAGATCAACATGATTTATAGAATTTACAATGATTTTCTTTAACTAACAAAAATAATTAAATTCCTTCAAATGCAACAATTCTCAATATATTAATTAAATTCCTTCAATTCCAATAAATTTCTAATTTATCAATTAGCTTTACAAGCTGCAATAAACTATCAAAGTATCGTGTAATTATTATTATTAGGCACGATTTCTGCTGAGGTCGTACGANGTAGTAGCTACGCACGGACTCTGGTCACCTCATGCGTACGTAGTCCCCACAATTAACAACAATTATTAATTTAATCACATATGAGATAATTTCCCCCTCACAAGATTAGACAAGAGACTTACCTCAATTTTCTCCAATTTAATCCACTAGAAGGCCTTTTCCACGATAATCCAACTTTGTGTGGCTCGAATCTAGCCAAAATAATTTGATACAATCACTAAAAATTATAGGAATCAATTCCATAAGAAAATTCTATATTTTTCAATAAAAATTCGAAATTAACTCAAAATATAGCTTGTGGGGCCCACGTCTCGAAAATCAACAAAAGTTACGAAATATGAACGCGCACTCAACCACGAGTCTACCCATACCAAAATTACTAAATTCCGATAACAATTGGGCCCTCAAATCCTCAAATTTATCCAAAAGGGTTTTCAAACTTTTTCAACTTAATTCACCAATTAAATGATAAAAACAGTGATGGATTCGGGTAATTTAACCAATATTGAGTTAAGAACACTTACCCCGTTGTTTTCTCTGAAAATCTCCCAAAACTCGTCCAAATCCGAGCTCCAAATCGTTAAAAATGGAAAAAATTTCAGAACTTAAACTCTCTGCCTAGTGATTCCTTCTATGCGATCGCGAACTTCCTCACCCAATCGCGTAGCACAAATTTTACAGTACAGAAAATAACCCTACGCGATCGCAAACAATGCCACGCGATCGCGATGCTCAAGGTTCCAACTCTACGCGATCGCATCTCTCTTCACGCGATCGCATAGAGCAAACGCGTGGCCCAACTTCCTCTCCAGTTTCCCCTACGCGATCGCAAACAATGCCACGCGATCGCGATGCACAAACTGGACCAACCTACGCGATCGCGAACTTGCCCATTTGATCGCATAGAAGAAATTTCCAGCTTCCCAAATTACCCTACGTGATCGCGTATAAGGAAATCAGAGGAAAATTCCAGCAGCTATCAACAAGTCACTTCCTCGACTGGTTGGCCCCTCCACTGGACTTTTACTACAGAAATCCTCTTGGACCTCAATTGGCGAACCTATTTATTAACAATGGCAACTTGTTCTTCATAGCCCAAACTATTATATAGTTGAACTGTGTTGAAGTCTAACATATGTGATAGGTCGGCATGATACTTCCGGAGCATAGATACATGGAAAATCGGATGAACTCCTAATAGATTGGGAGGCAAGGCAAGCTCATAAGCAACCTCCCCAACTCGTCTCAACACCTCAAATGGGCCTATAAACCTTGGGCTCAATTTTCTTTTCCCAAGTCTCATGATTCCCTTCATCGGCGAAACTTTCAAAAGAACTTTTTCACCCACCATAAATGATAAATCACGTGCTTTCTGATCCGTGTAACTCTTCTGTCTGGACTGTGCTGTACGAAGTCGCTCCTGAATCAACTTTACCTTTTCCAAGGCATCTTTCACCAAATCAGTACCATATAATTTAGCCTCACCGGGCTCAAACCATCCAATGGGCGAACGGCATCGCCGACCATATAAAGCCTCAAATGGAGCCATCTCGATGCT